TTGCAGGGAAAAAAACCTCTTCCATTCTCAGTGTGTTTGATCTTCTCTTCCTGTGCCCTCTTTTTTTTTTTTTTTTTAATTTTTAAAATTTATTTGGCTGTGCTGGGTTGCTGGGTCTTAGTTGCGGCATGTGGGATCTAGTTCTCTGACCAGGGCTCGAGACTGGGCCACCTGCATTGGGAGCATGGACTCTTAGCCACTGGACCACCAGGGAAGTCCCTTCCTCTGCCCTCTTAAGCCTGGGCTTCAGGCTCCTCCTGTGGTCTCCTGGAGGACCTAGAGCTTCCTCCTTCGGGAGCTTATTCCTCAGAGTGGTAATTGTCTGCCTAGTCCTCTAGCCATCTCTGAGATTTTTGTCAGCAGGAAAATACACTTCAGCTTGGCTGTCTCCATGGCAGGATATAGTGAGTGCCAAATCCCTAGAAAGGTGGTGCAATCAATGAATGAACAAGTCAGATTAAGGAAGCAACATGGTCACTGCCATAATCATTGCCTTTGACCAAACTGTCTCACTTATGGTAGTAGTATCTCTGATATAAACCGTGTAAATTGTAACTTTGCAGTTGGTAAAACTAAAGAAATAACCACTGAACCACGAACTCAGTCCTAGATGGTTTTCTACACTATCATAAATGAGTGCTGCATGCTAATGGCACTTTCTATTTTACTTTTCATAAGCAATTTCTCCCTTGTTTGATAGTTGGAACACAAGCTGGCTGGGCCTGTTTCCCTATAGTAACAACATGTTCCACTCGCCCACTGTGCCACGCCCCACTGTGGATTATCATAGGTAACTTTCACAACACCTCAATGAAATAGGTGATATGTAGGTGCTGGGGAAATTGAAGCTTAAGGAGGTTAAGTAACGTGCCCAAGTGCACACACGTAGCAGGTGAAGAGCTGTGGCTCAAAACCAGTCAGGCAGGCTGTGGAGCCTTCACCATTTCCCAATGCTGCCTTCTTTTATTTTGTTCAAGGAATTTGTCACCATGGGAAAATTTTTGTTTCTGTATTAGAATGCTTAGTCCATGATTACAGAGACACTGTATCCTCAAGTTACTTGGAGTGTAATAGGTGTTCAGTAAGTATGGAATTAATGATGAAAGGTCCATATAGTCAAAGCTGTGGTTTTTCTAGTAGTCATATATGGATGTGAGAGTGAACCGTAGAAAAGGCTGAGTGCCAAAGAATTGATGCCCTTGAACTGTGGTGCTGGAGAAGACTTTTGAGAGTGAAAGCTCTGTAGCTCAGATGGTAAAGAATCTGCTTGCCACGCAGGAGACCCGGGTTCGATCCCTGGGTGAGGAAGATCCCTTGGAGAAGGGAATGGCAACCCACCCCAGTACTCTTGCCTGGAGAATCCCATGGACAGAGGAATCTGGTGAGCTACAGTCTGTGGGGTCAAAAAGAGTCATACATGACTGAGTGACTAATAGTACTACTACTGGAAAGCAAGCAGTTCAAACCAGTTAATTCCAAAGGAAATCAACCCCGAATATTCACTGGAAGGACTCATGCTGAAGCTGAAGTTCCAATACTTTGTCCACCTGATGCAAACAGCCAGCTCATTGGGAAAAGACCCTGATGCTGGGAAAGACTGAAGGCAAAAGGAGAACAGGGCAGCAGAGGGTGAGATGGTTAGATGACATCACCAACTCAATGGACATGAGTTTTAGCAAACTCAGGGAGATGGTGATGGACAGGGAAGCCTGGCGTGCTGTAATCCATGGGGTCGCAAAGAGTCGGACATGATGGAGCAACTGAACAGCAACAAGGGAAAATTTCATGCAAAGATAGGCCCAATAAAGGACAGAAACGGTAAGGACCTAATGGAAGCAGAAGAGATTAAGAAGAGATGGTAAAAATGCACAGAAGAACTATACAAAAAAGGTCTTAATGATCTGGATAACCACAATGGTGTGGTCACTCACCCAGAGTGAGACATCCTGAAGTGTGAAGTCAAGTGGGATTTAGGAAGCATTACTATAAACAAAGCTAGTGGAGATGATGAAATTCCAGCTGAGCTATTTCAAATCCTAAAAGATGATGCTGTTAAAGTGCTGCCCTCAGTATACCAGCAAATTTGGAAAACTCAACAGTAGCCACAGGATGGGAAAAGGTCAGTTTTCGTTCCAATTCCAAAGAAGGGAAATGCCAAGGAATGTTCAAACTACTGTACAATTGTGCTCATTTCACATGCTAGCAATGTAATGCTCAAAATCCTTCAAGCTAGTCTTCAAATGTATGTGAACCAAGAAATTCCAGATGTACAAACTGAATTTAGAAAAGGCAGAGGAACCAAAGACCAAATTGCCAACATCCATTGGATCATAGAAAAAGCAAGAGAATTGCAGAAAAACATCTGCTTCATTGACTATGCTAAAGCCTTTGACTGTGTGGATCACACAAACTGTGGAAAATTCTCCAAGAGATGGAAATACCAGACTACTTTATCTGCCTCCTCAGAAACCTGTATGCAGGTTAATAATAAACATTTAGAACCAGACATAGAACAACAGACTGGTTCCAAAGTGGGAAAGGAGTACATCAAGGCTGTATATTGTCACCCTGCTTATTTAACTTCTGTGCAGAGTACAAAATACCAGGCTGGATAAATCACAAGCTGGAATCAAGATTGTTGGGAGAAATATCAACAACCTCAGATAATGCAGATGATACTACCCTAATGACAGAAAGTAAAGAAGAACCAAAGATCCTCTCAATAAGGGTGAAGGAGGAGCATGAAAAAGCTGACTTAACCTTTACATGACATACATTGAAGAATAAAGCCACCCCCCCCCAAAAAAAGCTGGCTTAAAACTCAACATTCAAAAAACTAAGATCGTGACATCCAGTCCCATCACTTCATGGCAAATAGATGGAGAAAAAGTGGAAACAGTGACTGATCTTATTTTCTTGGGCTCCAAAATCACAGCAGATGATGACTGCAGCCATGAAATTAAAAGACACTTACTTCTTGGATGAAAAGCTATGACAAACCTAGATACTGTATTAAAAAGCAGAGTCATCACTTTGCCAACAGAGTTCTGTCTAGTCAAAGCTATGGTTTTTCCAGTATTCATATACAGATGTGACAGTTGGACCATAAAGAAGGTGAGTGCCGAAGAACTGATGCTTTTGAATTGTGGTGCTAGAGAAGACTCCTGAGAGTCCCTTGGACAGCAGGGAGATCAAACCAGTCAATCCTAAGGGAAACCAGTCCTGAATATTCACTGGAAGGACTGATGCTGAAGCTAAATCTCCCATAGTTTGGTCACCTAATGCAAAGAACCAGCTCACTGGAAAAGACCCTGATGCTGGGAAAGATTGAGGGCAGGAGGAAAAGGGAGCAACAGGGAATGAGATGGTTGGATGGCATCACCGATTCAGTGGACATAAATTTGAGCAAACTCCAGGAGACAGTGAAGGACAGGGAAGCCTGGCTTGCTGCAGTCCATGGGGTAACAAAGAGTTAGACATGACTGAGCAACTGAACAACAGCTGCCAGAGTGTGAAGTAAAAGTTAGGAGTTAACCATTTCTTTTATTTCAGTTTCTTATATATTCAAATTCTTTCATTTTATGAGTATTCATTTTCGGAAATGATCTATTGAAAAAGAAAACTCCCCAAACTGCTTAAAAAGATGCCTTCAAAAAAATTCTTAGCTTTGAACATATCACTGCTTTAAATATCTATTCACACATGTAGGGGTTTTGACTATACACTAAACCAAACTTCTATGCAGAGCTTAAGATGGTACTATCTCATATCCTTCCAGGAAAGAGAGAGACTTATTATTCTACCTCTTGAATATCCACTTTGTCATCCCTTCAAGGTGCCTAAAGCAAAACAAAACAACACAACCCCCACCAGCCCCCTTGCTGTGGAGGAAGAGGCTCCAACCCGGCTTCAGAACGTGTTATCATCTCCCTGATCTGAGAAGATGGGGATCTTCCGCACTTCTTTCTCCCACTGTCTGTGTGTGCGCATGCTCGGTCGTTCAGTTGTGTCCGACTCTGCAACCCCGTGGACTGTAGCCCGCCAGGCCCCTCTGTCCATATGATTATCCTGGCAAGAATACTGGAGTGTGGTGTCATTTCCTTCCCCAGGTTTTGTTCCCAACTCAGGAATCGAACCCGTGTCTCCTGCATTGCACGCAGATTCTTTACCACTGAGCTGCCGAGGAAGCCCCTCCCACTGTCTGGTAATTGCAGATTGGACTGACTGAGACAGCCGAGTCCTGCCCAGAGCCTCAGAGGGTCCCAAGCCCCAGCAGCTGCCAGAGAGGTTCTGACACTGGAAGCCGGAGCCCTAACATCCCTTATTTCCTGTTTGTCTTTTGGAACCCTCACCTGTTCCCTTTTCCTTACCTGCTTTCTGAACATATTTATGTCTCCTCACTTAGGAATTCAGTAGGAAAATCTAGTTACTGCTGGAGGAGTGTGATGTTGGTTTCAAATTCCACCCCCCTCCCCCAGACGTTTGGGCTTTCCTGATAGCTCATTTGGTAAAGAATCCACCTGCAATGCGGGAGACCTGGGTTCGATCCCTGGGTTGGGAAGATCACCTGGAGAAGGGATAGGCTACCCACTCCAATATTCTGGCCAAGAAAATTCCATGGACTGTATAGCCCATGGGGTCACAAAGAGTTGGACACAACTGAGCAACTTTCACTTTCTCAGTTATCAATGCCAAATTTCATCAGTACCACATATATAATTAATCTACTTTCTAAAAAAGCATAGCATGTAACATTTTAAGGGAACACTCATAATTGAAATAAGTACATAGGTAGAAAAATTTTCCTCCACCTTGTTCTTTATCTGCACCCTTGTATGTCTCCCCCTCTGGAACAGGCTGTCTCAAACCAGAGTTTGGTATTTCACTCTTTCACGTTGGAGAAGAGTTCATATTCTATTTATTTCATTTCGTATAGTCCCTCCCTTTCAGAATTGTTTTTGAAATGTTAATTGCCTTTTCATTGTTATCTTTATTTTCAGATTATATTCAGTGTCCATATTGTAAGAGGAGATTTAATGAAACCGCAGCCAGTCGACATATTAATTTCTGCAAGGATCAAGAGTCTCGCCGAGTCTTTGATCCAGCCCAGACAGCAGCCAGATTGGCATCCAGAGCACAGGTAAGTCTCTCACCCCAGGTGTTGGCTCCTGTGCCCTTGTCTGCCTGGGGAAAGCAGGTAGAATTTGCAAGGGAACCTAAATCACCTGTCCTGAGAACTGTTAGGATCAGGACAGCCAATCTTCATGGGACTTGGCTACTTTTGAGCAATACTTTCCAGCTAAACAGCACCGTTGGATGTTGTAGAAAAAATTCTCTACAGGGTCTGAAAGTTCTTAGGTTGAAGACTTAGCTATCTAATATTGTTTCTGTGGTGTTATGGTGAGACTGTAACCAGTGGTGATTGTCATCAGCTTTAACCACCCCCAATAGTGTGTAGAACCTGAAGTGAAACTGGCTTAAGTGGAGGAAACTGTCACATGGAACCTGTTCTACAGGTTTGTGTTTGCTCTGTGGAGAAGGGTCTTCAGCCTGTTCAAAGCCCCAGAATCATCAATGTAAAGTAAATAAATAAAACAGCCATTGTAAATTGGAAAAGACCCTGATGCTGGGAAAGATTGAAGGCAGGAGGAGAAGGGGACCACAGAGGATGAGATGGTTGGATGGCATCACTGACGCAATGGATGTGAGTTTGAGTAAGCTCCGGGAGTTGGTGATGGACAGGGAAGCCTGGTGTGCTGCAGTCCATGGAGTCGCAAAGAGTTGGACATGACTGAGGAACTGAACTGAACTGAACAAATAAGTAAAATGACAGCTGGACCAAGAAGACAATAGATTTCTAAAAACAACCGGAAACAGCAAACAGCTCCATACACATCAAAGGTACTGGAGACATAGCTTACAGTATACTGTGAAAACTGTTAGTTTCATGTACATGTCTTAGATACCAAGAAAAGATTGTTAAATTGTTCAGGCACTAAGTCATGTCTGACTCTTTGCAACTTCCATGGACTGTAGCATGCCAGGCTTCCTTGCCTTTCACTGTCTCCCAGAGTTTGCTCAAACTTATGTCCATTGAGTCAGTGATGCAGTTTAACTGTCTCATCCTCTGTTGTCCCCTTCTCCTTCTGCCCTCAATCTTTCCCTGCATCAGGGTCTTTTCCAACGAGTCAGCTCTTCACATCAGTTGGCCAAAGTATTGGAGCTTCAGCATCAGTCCTTCCAATGAATATTCAGGTTTGATTTCCTTTAGAATTGACTGGTTTGATCTCCTTGCAGTCCAAGGGACTCTCAGGAGTCTTCTCCAGCACCACAATTTGAAAGCATCAATTCTTCGGCACTCAGCCTTCTTTATGGTCCAGCTCTCACATCTGTATATAACTACTGGAAAAGCCATAGCTTTGACTATACAGACCTTTGTTGGCAAAGTGATATCTCTGCTTTTTAATACACTGTCTAGGTGTGTCATAGCTTTTCTTCCAAGGAGCAAGTGTCTTTTAATTTCCAAAGAATAGCAAGGAGAGATAAGAAAGCCTTCTTAAATGGCTGCTGTCAAAAAGTCTACAAACAGTAAATGCTGAAGAGAGTGCGGAGAAAAGGGAACCCTCTTAAACTGTTGGTGGGAATGCAAACTAGTACAGCCTCTATGGAGAACAGTGTGGAGATTCCTTAAAAAACTGGAAATAGAGCTGCCATATGACCCAGCAATCCCGCCGTTGGGCATACACACCGAGGAAACCAGATCTGAAAGAGACACGTGCACCCCAATGTTCATCGCAGCACTGTTTACAATAGCCAGGACATGGAAGCAACCTAGATGTCCATTGGCAGATAAATGGATAAGAAAGCTGTGGTACATATACACAGTGGAATATTACTCAGATATTAAAAAGAATGCATTTGAATCAGTTCTAATGAGGTGAGTGAAACTGGAGCCTATTATACAGAGTGAAGTAAGTCAGAAGGAAAAACACCAATACAGTATATTAGTGCATATATATGGAATTTAGAAATATGTTAACATTGACCCTATATGCGAGACAGTAAAAGAGACACAGATGTGAAGAACAGACTTTTGGACTCTGTGGGAGAAGCCGAGGGTGGGATGATTTGAGAGAATAGCATTGAAACATATATATTATCATATGTGAAATAGACCACCAGTCCAGGTTCGATGCATGAGACAGGGTACTCGGGGCTGGTGCACTGGGATGACCCAGAGGGATGGGATGGGGAGGGAGGTGGGAGGGGGTTTCAGAATGGGGAACACATGTACACCCATGGCTGATTCATGTCAGTGTATGGCAAAAACCACTACAATATTATAAAGTAATTAGCCTCCAATTAAAATAAATTAATTTTTTAAAAAAGAAAGGCTTCTTAAGTTAACAGTGCATTGAAGCAGAGGAAAACAATAGAATAGGAAAGACTAGAGATCTCTTCAAGACAATTAGAGATACCAAAGAAAAGATTAAGTGGGTCTGACTGAATACTTAACAGTAGAAGCATGTTTAGAAAGATTTCCATGATATCCAACATGTCATAGGAATGGGACCCTCTCTAACAATAGCACACCCTACAGACTATGGATTCTGACCTCCGCATATACTAGACAGTTACTGAGTATCTACGCTGTACCTGCTGCTGCATCAGGTACTGGTTGATCAAGGATTTATGATTCAGAGGCAGCAGCACCCTTGGAAGCAATACAGTAGGAAAGTGTAGTGGTTAACATATACAGGAGCATGGTGGAGTCAGAGGCCACTTGTGATTCATGGGAAGCTTCAAGGAGGAGCAAATACTTTCCCCACAATATCAGAGGAGTTGACCGGTCTAGATTTGGACTTGGAAAGGACATTATGCACTAAATGTCCAGCCCATGACCTGAGGGGCCCACCGTGTACAGCTGAAGGACAGAGAGCCTATGGGCGAGTGACGGGGTGGGACAGGCCAGGTGAGCATCGGAGTCAGGAGGGCTTCAACCCACGTGGGCTCAGAGGAGAAGGGGTTAAGTGGATAGATGCCTTCAACCTGAGGCCGACCAACCTGAGGGCCTGGAAGCAGGAATTGAAAGTCTCCAGGAACCCCAGAAGTCCTGTCCATCTTTCCTTCTTGTCTCTTCTTCCTCCTCCGCTGCTGCTTCAGCTTCTCTCTGCAAAACTCGGCCTTTCTCTGCAATTGCCCCTCACTGGCCTCACACATCATTCTTTATGCAATGTCGACTGGTTGCATAATGCCGACTAGAGTAACATGGAATTGGTTTCTTAGATCACCCTGGCAGTTAGTGTTCAAGATGGACTGGTGAGAGACCAGTTAGAGCCACGCCAACTGAAAAAGGAAATGAGGGCCCAGAGTCAGGACTAATGCGGGGGGTGTGGGGGGGGCGGTGTGTGTGTGTGGAGGGTGTGGATTTAAGAGAGAATTGTTGGAACTGAGAAGCTGATTGGAATATAAGGTAAAAGAGTATCAGGGTTGGCAACGAGGCGTTTAACTCCAGAGCAGATAACACCACACATCTAGATGAAAGAACACTGAATGCAGAGGTGGGGAGGTAGTCACTTTGGTGGGGCAGGCAAGGACCCTATGGTAACTATAGTTGTAGAGATTCAATCTTTACGCCTGAAATAGCATGGGAATCAGTGCAGTGTCGGAAGAACTTGGATTCTACAATCAGCAGTCAGGGTCTGACCTTCAGTTTTATAATATAGTATCTGTAGGTTAGTTTGGACAAGTTCCTTGAATTCTTTGAGACTCACTTTAGCCTGTGTCTGGCTGAGCTTGTTAGGAGGATCACAAGTAACAGCAGTACCACACAGGTGCCCCCGCCTTTACCCTCTCAACACTGCCCCCGACCCCCTTCCCCTCTCTTGACAGTCCTCTCCTTGAGTGCGTCAGGCACCACAATCTGGGGGGAAACATGACTGCTTTGGACTTGTGAGAGTGAAAATGTTAGCCACTGAGTCGTATCCGACTCTTTGCGACCCCATGGATGACAGCCCACCAGGCTCCTCTGTCCATGGGATTCTCCAGGCAAGAATACTGGAGTGAGTTGCCATTCCCTTCTCCAAGGGATCTTCTCAACCCAGGGACTGAACCCGGGTCTCCCGCGCTGCAGGCAGATTCTTTACCATCTGGGCCACCTGAATTGAGCTTAATTTGGGGAGGGGGGAAGAAACGTACAACTCTACCTAGACTTTCTAAAGAAGTAAAGGGTGCATTATGTTTCTTCGAATGCTTCTTCTAAGCAGTCCACGAAGTAAGTCGGTGTTCGTGGGGCCAAGGGGAGCAGAGGGGGAAGCAGCGGGCGGAAGTGCTTTTTATTCCTGAAGAAGGCCAGCTGGCTGTCCTGAGCGTAACCAGCAACTTGGCCTGGTTCCTCTCCTTGTCTTCCAGAGCGAAGTGGTGATTGGGAACACAGAAGAAAAATTGCTTGCTTTCTGAGTTGCTTGCTTTCTGAGTAAACTCGCTGTCGAGTGTATCTGAACAGCAGTGCTGTTTCCCCCATGCCAGCTTCGCCACTCTGGGGCCCTGCCTCATAGTGGAGCTTATTCAGAGGGAGAACAAAAAGGGAGGTGTTGTCTCCATGTGGAAGGGCTGTTAACAGCACAGCTGAAATGTGTTTCTATTTTAAACATAATCAGCTCTAAAAAATGTGTTATACCCTTCACCAAAAGAGACCAGGATGGGTTCTCTGAAAATAGCTTGCTTTGTTTGCCTGGGGATGAGCTGCATGCCATCGCCTCGCAGCAGGCCCTGCCCAAGTGAGGATTCTCACTTCGAGGAACAGGTTATCTTTGTACCCGAGTTGCCATGGAAATGTGGAGGGGTCTGTGGCAAGGTAAAAGGGAGGGCACAAAGGAACTCCCGAGAAACCTTTCGGCCCTTCTTCCCTGTTAACACGACTCATCTGCTGCCGCCACTCAGGAGGGTGGGGAGTGCGTGGGGATGTTGAATTCCATGTTTAAAACATTTGGTGCCTGCCAGTGTCTGTTTTTCTTCTCTGTGCATGTATTTAAACACAAAATCATCTTCAAGTGTAATGAAAAGCCCAAGTGTTCCGTAACTATCCTTATTGACATTAAGTGATTTCTTATGTCTCCACACAACTGATCGAACAGGATTAACACATCACCGTTCCCCGAAAGGGCTTGATGGTGGAACGAAAGCTCCAAAACCCAGACATGGTTTTGAACCCCAGCAGGAAGGACAGGAGCCAGGTTACTGAGGTGCAGGGTGTGTGGGTCCCTCTCCCCTGGGTGTCACAGGTCCCGCACATGACTGCACCCTGCTGCTGATGCAGGGGAGGCCACATCACCTCCTTGTATGCTTCCCAAGCTGACCGAGCTCTTCCCTTCTCCTCCCCACCCCCCCGCCTCCCCTCTGTCTCCCTCTCCAGGGTAGAGCTCAAATGTGTCCAAAAAAGGAACCGACTGTAACCAGTGCCGTGGGAGCTCTGCTGCAGATCAGGGCCCTGGAGGCCAGTGCAGCGCCAACCCGGCCAGGTGAGCTGGAATGAGCATCTCAACTGTCGAATGACGGAGTCACAGGAGACCACTGTTGGCTTTGGGATTTGCTGGCGGTCAGCAAAAGCCATGACATCCAAAGTTGCTTTGGGATATAAAGATATGTGAGTTTGTTTGAGGTTTAGAGCTTATTTGGCAAGAAAGGATATTTCCTAATTTTCCAAGATTAGACAACTCTCGACAGTATACAAAATCAGATCTGATGACAATAGCCGGAGCTAGACCCGTTGTTCCCAGGTCTGGTAAAATTAAGAAGAGATTCAGGGTGGGAGATGGCAGTGTGTCAGGCTTTGTGTTGAAAATAAGGGAAGAAAATGAAATTGTGGTCTCAGAGGGATATCTGTACTCCCATGTTCATTACAGAATGTTTCAAATAGCCAAGATACAGAAACACCCTTCATATTCATTGATGGATGAATGGATAAAGACGGGGTATATATACACAATGGAATATTATTCAGTAATAAAAAGAGAAGGAAATCCTTCCATTTTCAACTTCATGGATAAACCTTGAGGTGAAATAAGTCAGAAGGAGGACAAATACTGTATGATCTAGGTTATGTGCATGCTCGGTCGTGTCCGACTCTTTGCCATCCCATCGACTGTAGCCTACTATGTCCTCTGTGGAATTTTCCAGGCAAGAATACTGGAGTGGGTTGCCATTCCCTTCTCCAGGGCATCTTCCCAACCCAGGGATCAAACCTGAATCTCTTGGTCTCCTGCATTGGCAGATGGATTCTTTACCGGTGCACCGCCTGGGAAGCTGTGTGTGAAACCTTAAAATATTAAACTCGTAAAAACAGAGAGTAGAATGATGGTTGCCAGGGGTGGAGGGTAGGGTGGGAGAAATGGGGAGATGTTGGTCAAAGGGTACAAACTTCCAGTAAGAAGATGAATGAGTTCGGGGAATCTAATGTTCAGCAGGGTGACTATAGTTAACAGTACTGTATTATCTACTTAAAAGTTGCTGAGAGAATAAATTTTAAATATTCTCGCCACAGACACACACACACACACACACACACACACAAAAGTAACTATGTAAGGTGATAAGTGTGTTAACCAATCTTACTGTGGTAATCATTTTGCAATACATACATGTGATAAATCATCACATTGTACACCCTAAACTTGTACATTATATTCAATTAGATCACAATAAGGCTGGAAAAAAAGAAAATGGGGAAGAATTTCCTTCCTAGGATGAAATAATGTCTTCAAAGTAGGAAAAACGAATGCCCATCATTTTAGTACTTGCTTTATGCTTGACCCATTTCTTTTAATCTTCACAATAATCCTCCAAATTTTTAACCTATGGAATGGGAACTGAGGCTCAGAGAGGGCGAGTTGTTTAAGACACACAACTGGTAAAACAGCAGAGCTGGATTAGATATCTCCTTTTTCTCTTCATTGAGCTGCATTGCTAGTAATGGACATTCTTCTTTATGGTCAGCATCACTATGAAGGCAATGAATGAAGTGAATGAAATCATGACCATATCGGCACCTCTGGTCAGGAGTCTTATTCTGAAGGTATTATCAGAACCAGAATAAGAAGTGCCAGTCTGATAGTCCATAAGGTAACAGCACCAGAAATCTTTATCATTAGTTTTTAAATTCCTCCTGAGTTGCTTAAATGGGTGAAAAATTGAATTGTTATTTTAAAAATTCATAGCCATCTAAACTCAAACCACTAGTTGTTTTTTTTCCTTCACTTTCTGTAGGAATTTAACCATGAGGCAGGTTTTAGTTTTTACTAAGGAAAAAAGTAATTCAAATCATTTATGTATTCTTTTGGTAAAACTTCCACTAACAAACTTTTTTTTTCCTAAAGTGTAAAATGACTAGTGTCCTTGAGAAAAGACAATTTCTTTATATATTATAGTTTCTTATTTTTCAAAGAATATATTATAATGCTTCCCTTTCAGTGAAAAACATCCTTTTGAGTTTGTTTGTGAAGAGGGAGTATTTCTTAATTCATTGGGATTAGACAACTCTGACAGGGTGCCAAGTCAAATGCAAGTACAGCCTCGGAGTCTAGGATCTTTATTCCCTGGTTTAGTAAACCAGGAAAGAGACTGGGAGTGAGGGAAGACAGGCCTAGTATTGAAAAGAGGAAAAGAGTTTCCTTCCTTGAACTCAGCAGTTAAAGCAGCAGCAAGGTACGAGTGGAAAGGTCCTGAATCAGGGCAGCAGTCCTGTGTCCCAGTATGTGGCGATGAGCAGGACGATATACAGACACTGTTCTGATACACCAGGAAATAGATGAGCAGGCCAGCAGATCTAAGCAAAATATATCATATTTGTTGTTAACTCGTCAGCGGTGGTTTGTAATCACTGTGATGTTGTTAAGTAAAAGGCCGAATCCAGCGTAGTCCACACTAGGTTCTGTGCCACCAGCTGACCACACCATCCACTGTTTCCTTTCCATCCGGCTTGAGCAGCCTCTCTTGCTCCTGCTCACTCCTGGCTCAGGGACTTTGCACTGGTCGCCCTCTCTGCTGAAAACCAAAACACCCCTCAGTGATCTACCCTGCCGTCTCCCTCCTCCCCTCCCTCCAGCTCTTAGCAGTGTCTTCCCAGTGGGCCCCGCACCCACCCAACCTCTGTGTTTCAGAGTAATCAAGCCCACTATAATTCTCTTTGTAGTTTTCCAAAATAGCAGTTACCATCATCTAATATATTCAATACATATTTATTTTCTTCCTGTCCCACCCACTATGCCAGAAAAGGGGATATAAGCTTCAAGAAGGCAGGAATCTGTCTACTTGGTTTATTTTCTATTGTACTGCTCAGGTTTGATCCCTGGATTGGGAAGATTCCTTGGAGGAGGGCATGGTAACCCACTCCAGTATTCTTTTTTTTTTTTTTTTTCTTCCATTTATTTTTATTTGTTGGAGGCTAATTACTTTGCAACATTGCAGTGGTTTTTGTCATACATTGAAATGAATTAGCCATGGATTTACATGTATTCCCCATCCCGGTCCCCCGTCCCACCTCACTCCAGTATTCTTACCTGGAGAATCTCATGGACAGAGGAGCCTGGTGGTCTGCAGTCCATGGGGTCGCAAAGAGTTAGACACGGCTGAAGTGACTTAGCACACACGTATCTCTACTTAGAATTGTTCATGGCATTTATGAAATGCTCAGTAAATACTTTTTGAATGAAATATATTGGACAAAGTGGGTATCTTGAGTCTATAATTTCTCACTTAAATATGAATAGAATTGTCATGTTAATTAGCTTTAAGAGATAGCTTTTTAAAAAAATTTCTGGTTCAAGATGCTTTTTCAATTTAGTTTCTGTTCTTACCTGTGACCTCACCTGTTAACATTTAAAAATAAAATCACCAAGGTTAGTGTGCTTTTAAATTAGTCACATTTCGTTTGAAGCCATTCTGGAGAGAAAGCAGAAGTATATTGAGGGGAGGTGAATTTTCAAAACTGTTTAAGGCTTGGAGAAAAGCCTGAGTATTTTTACTAATGTGAATAGGCCCGTGTATGAATCAGATTCTCATCTACTGGCCATTGTTTTCGACCTAGTCAGTACTAATCTATGTGTAATAAGGGGATCTTTTTAAAAACTGTTGGTGGTGGTCTAGCTATCTTTAGATTGACAATCTGTCGTTTAGGCCACTTGATGTCACTTGGCTTCCACTTGCAATCCTATTATTGTCTTTCATCTAGCTGGTAGTTAGCCCTCTAAAACCCCAGCTTTCATTCTTTGACTCTCTTGAGTAAAACAAACGTTTAAAATCTCCCATTTATAACCTTTTTTTTTTTTACATGGTTTTGTATTTTATTATATTTACTTAATATCTTTTATGGAACCAGTATATCTTATTGTTGTTACTGTTTATTCTTCCATGTTATTAAAAAGTTATTCAAAATTAGCATTCATGATGTTTCATTGTGTGAGTATACCAAACTTTTATACCAAAATTTATATTTAACCATTCTGTTCACAGTGAGGGTAGGCACAATCCGCAGTCAGTAATCATTATATCTAATGTTTAACAGTGGGATATAAAAGTCTTAAGGGACTACAAGAAAGAGATCTGTTTTTCCCAGGAGGTTTTATGGAGGAGGTAATGGCCAGAGAAAGTTTCATAGAGGTGGAGGCTTTGGGGATGAGCTAGATTTTGACCAATGGAGAAAAGTTGCGGCAGCAACAGAGACAGGAAAGTAAGAACACAACACATACTCTGGGGTGGGGGCGGGGGGGATGGTCCATTTGGCCAAAGCATGGAGAAGAACTGGGGTTAAAGTTAGAATGGAAGGCTGGTACTAGAGCAAGGAGGGCTGTAAATGCTCAGCAGGGTGTCCAGACTATGTGTGATTAATGCCAGTGGTGGTGTTACTGCCCTGACACATGTGTCTGTGAAAGTGAGGCTCTTATGATGACCTAGGAACTTTTTGGTTCTACAGATTTTAAGTTAGCCTGCCAAAATGTCTCTTGAGAAAGGGCATTTTTAAAAATGTTGACATGGGAGAAATTAATGCTTACTGTAGAAGATCTTAGAAAATGAAGAGAAAGTATGAAGAAAATAAAAATCATCCATAATTCCACTCCCTGACATGTCTACTGTTAATATTGATACCTCTTCACTTTTTCTCTTTATTCGCTGCCTCTTTTGTTTTCTTTTGATCTAAATTAGGATCATAGTCCATGAACACATCCTGATTTTTTTTCCCACAGACTGTCAACATTTCCCTATGGCAAAGAGTTTCTTTAAAAACATAATATCGTATGTTTTCAAAGATACAAATGATATCACAAAAAGACAATATAACTTGTCTATTTTCCTGATGTTGAATAGGTAGGTTGTCTCTGCTTTTTTGCTGTACTGAATATTTCCCTTCTTCATAGACAGTGAATTAAGCCCATGCTTAATTGTATGCTCTTCTAAGCTCTTCAAATATGAATCTTCATTAATCCTTATTTAATCCTCACAGTAACACAAAGGGGTAGACATACTATTCATAGCCCTAGTTTCCAGGTGAGGAAAGCAGAGAGGGGAAGCAACTTGCAAAAGGAGTTTTTAATAGAAAATGGTAGAGCCAAGCAAATCTTCATCTACTTTGGGAAAACTGGGTCAAAAAACATTAAGGAGATAATTATATAAATATTATATATTATTTAGCATATATAATATACCAGTACCTCACAATTGAGCTGGACCATAAAGAAGGCAGAATGCCAAAGAACTGATGCCTTTGAACTGTGGTGGTGGAGAAGACTCTTGAAAGTCCCTTGGACAGCACAGAACTCAAACCAGTCAGTTTTAAGGGAAATCAACCCTGAGTACTCATTGGAAGGACTGATGCTGAAGCTCCAATATTTTGGTCATCTGATGTGAACACCTGACTCATTGGAAGAGTCCCTGATGCTGGGAAAGATTGAGGCCAGAAGGAGAAAAGGGCACCAGAGGATGAGATGGCTGGATGGCATCACTAATGCAATGGGCATAAACTTGCACAAACTTCAGGAGATGGTGAGGGACAGGGAGGCCTGGTATGCTGCAGTCCATGGGGTCACAAAGAGTTGGACACGACTGGGCGACTGAACAACATATACTAGTACATATATTAGACTTCCCTGGTGGCGCAGACGGTAAAGAATCTGCCTGCAATGCAGGAGACCCAGGTTCGATCCCTGAGTCAAGAAGATCCCCTGGAGAAATATGTATATTACTTAGTAGATATATGTTTAGGAAATTATTTTAGAAAAGGATATGGCTCTTCTTTCTCACAAAGATTCTAATGTTCAGATGAGAACTGAGTTTATAGCCTAGTCAGCAAATATCTACATGGCTCTTTTCTCAAGGGATTTGATACAGGAGTGACGGGTTTACAGGGAAGGCACCTCTGGGCAGCAGCTTCTCCGGCACCTTTATATAGAGAGACTAAGACCACTGTGGAGTTGTAGCTCTAGTTTCTGCTTTGGTTTCTGGAGCCAGTGGGTTTGATCAAGTTGAGCATCCTGTCTGCACTGACCTGCCCTGGGGCTCGTGTGGTCCGTTGCTCAGTCATGTCCGACTCTTTGTGACCCCATGGACTGTTGCCTGCCAGGCTCCACTGTCCATGGGGTTTTTCAGGCAAGAATACTCCCCTTCTTACCTCATTTAATTGTGTAGCAAATGTAATGAGTATCAAAGGGTCAGTTACTGATTGGGAAAAACAAAACTTGTAAATCTTTGGGTAATACTGTCACTGAGTTCTATCCTGTGTCCTTTGATACTGATTCACAGTCTCCTGGGGTTGTCCGGTCATTCTTCCTTTGTAAAACACTGATTAGAAAAGAGGCCTCTAGGAGAGAGAGTACTATTCTTTTTTCTTTTTTAATGATTTCTCTGAGAATCCTATCCCATCCCAAGTGATCCAGCACAAACTGTGGCGTGTTTTGCCCATAGATTCCTCTGTCTCCATTCCTGTCAGTGGAGCTGAACACAGAGGAAAACAGTTCTGTGTGGGCAGTGAGTCCATCACTGTGCAGATAACCGCTGGGAGGGAAGGCCTCTCATGCTTCCATGAGGTTTATCAAACCCTTTCTAGCATGAGAGCAGGCAAAGAATTTTGTGCAGATGTGGAACATTCTCTGGGCACATTTTGAAAGGTGGGGCTATAGTGGGATCAGGTGTTGAGGGTCAATTTGTATAAATGGGGGGGGGGCGGTCATTGGGGTGGTGGGCCAACGGGCCCATCCATGGGTAAGTGAAGTCTTAAGGGTAGAAGACAGGGTTTCTAACACAGATTCTGTTTTCCTTATTATCTGGCCCAGGATAGGGGCTGTGAACTTGTCTATAGCTCCAAAACAAAAAGGAAGAAGAGAGACTTTTGAGTCCAATGTGAGAATTTCATAATCATCCCTTTTTTCTGTTGTTGCTAATGTTTGCTTTTACATAACAACAAATCTGTTTATGTCTGCAAAGGATCAGCAGTGGACCCTGCTTCTGGAGCAAAACTCAGACAAGGATTTACTAAATCTTCTAAAAAAGATTAACTCCTAGAGGCCAGGTAAGGAAAAAAAAATTTTTTAATGTCTATGTGTTACCAATCATCTAATGGGCAAGACACAGTTAATGAGCCTTTAAGAGGATGAATCCATAGCAGGCCAAAGAGGAATTTGGGCAAATCCTGATTTAGGTTACTAAAATGTATGCTCTTGAAACTTACTCTTTTGTTAAACATATAATTTGAAATGACGTTCAGTTTTTGCTTCTCGGATTTGACAGGAAGCAGGAATAATTTTTCATTTTGTTTCTTGGATTTAACAGGAAGGAGAAATGATTCTTCATTTTGACCAGGAAGGTTACTGCCCTGTCCCTTTTACTAAACAAAGACAGGTCCCTGAGGTTGACACTGAATAAACACTGCTATGAAGCTGGAGAATTTTTGATATTGTGAATTGTTAAAAACAATGAACAATTAAAAGAGGCCTGTATTAACATTCTCAATGTGGGAACAACAAAGTTCCAAAGTAAGTGCCTTCTCTTTCTGCTTTCAGCCTGGCTCCCTAACCATCCTTGACCTGGATGGTTGTACCCAGGAACTCCACCTAAGGTGAGGGAATGGGAGGCATCTGTTTACATGCCTGCAATTTCTTTGGAGACTTCATGTAGAACAAGTAAAAACTACATTAAAATTTTATCTACTCCCTTCAAATTTTTCCCCTCAAATCATTAAACTACGCATCAACCTGTATGATAACTCTTGATTTAAAGATTCGCTTGAAGCATTTTTCCTCTGTGCTATGCAGTCGGTTCTCATTAGTTATCTGTTTTACACACACCTGCTTAGTGGCTCAGTCACGTCTGACCCTTTGGACTGTAACCTGCCAGACTCCTCTCTCCATGGGATTCTCCAGGCAAGAATACTGGAGTGGGTTGCCATTTCCTCTTCCAGGGGAGCTTCCTGACCCAGGGATTGAGCCTGTGTCTCCTGCACTGTAGTGGATTCTTTCCCAGCTGAGTCACCGGGAAAGCCCATTTTACGTGCAGTAGTGTAATGTCAATCCCAGTCTCCCAGTTCATCCCATCCCACCATCCCCCTTCCCCCGCTTGGTGTCCACACGTTTGTTCTCTATGTCTGTGTCCCTATTTCTGCTTTGCAAATAGGCTCATCTGTACCATTTTTCGAGATTCCATATATATGTGTTAAGAAACTTTTTTTTTAAAGTGGACAGTTTTTAGTCTTTTTAAAGAAAATGTTGCTTTGATATTAGAAACTTTTGGTAAAACAGTCTTTATTACTTCCTAGGAAAATCTTTACCTAGTTTATTCTACATAATAGACATGAAATCTCAGCTTGGATAAACTTTGATGTTTGCTTCTAATGAACATTAAACTGTCATTAGTAGCTACTCCTATTTTAAACGTCCATCTGTATGCCGTGTAGAATTGCCTCAAATACACCAGTGTTTTGGGGAACACTACAGTGAAAGGAACAGGTTACAATAACCTTTCCACCCTGTAGAAAGGATCCTCTAAGTGAACTCAGGCCATCTACTTATCATGGCCAACTTGGAAGTCAACTGTTCAGTACACTTTCAGTTCATCTAGCTCTGTTGGGAGGTGGTGTCTCAACTATTTTTTTCTCTTGATCATCCTAAGGGTTGGTAAACTTTTTTTTGTAGTTATTTATACTTAATTTATGCTTTTTAATCAGAGAATTTTTATTAAGGTCAGGGAACTTTATTTAGGAATAAGTCATTTTTCTCTAAATAAGAGTACCAGCCTCCAGGTACGGCAAACACAACATCTGGAAGTATTACAATCTGTATTTTGGGGACCAATTGCTGTGTTTTACACTTAGGTAAATCAGGTATGTGTTCTGGAACTGACTGAAGACATGTAAAAGTGTTTGTGGAAGCTTCTATAAATGGAAAATGGAAGCTTTAGCCAGAGTGAGCTGCCTCTCTGCCCCTCTCCACTTGCTCTGGGAGACTGCCTTCCCTCAGCGAGAGGTAAGAGTGGACATAGGAGCTTAGACATCCCAGAGCAGTGGAGTCTTACTGACCAGGTAACCTGTGTTCCGTTGTATCATTTCTTTGATGGTCACCAGCTCACTCCAAAGGACTGTGTTGAATCATGGTTTCTCACATGTGGCTAATATGCTGCTTTAACAAGACAAATGAACTCAAGGTTCCCCTTTCTCTACCCACCCCCACCCTATTTAGAGGTCAAACAAGCAAAACTAAACAGTATTATGGGCCATAATACTTTTTGAAGACATCCCAATAAGAAATAATTTATAATTTGTACTGGAAACTAATGGTAAACACCACTGTAAAACTGGATCATGGTAGCCCAGAATAGATAAAACTTCAGAAGCTAGTATTCTGACCTATACATCAGAAATAAATTACACAGCATTCTGGAAGAATTCACAATGTCATACAGTAAGTTTAGAAATAAGTTCTTTGCGCTGTGAATTTAATGAAGCATACAAGCATCAACCTTAAAATTATTGTTTTAAAAAGATAAGTTTCTAATCGATGCTGAATAGAGGTCAGAATAGTTGCTTCTGTAGGGGATGTGATGACCCAGAGGGGGCATGACAGAGCAGCTGAGGAGCTGGAAATGTTTTCCATCTGTGTGGAGAGTGGGGGTGTGGTTGTATCTAAAAATGAATCAAGCCATTTGCTCAATTTGTACTTTATTTATTATATGTAAGATACATCTTCATATTGAAAGCCTCTAAACACAAAAGACAGAGGAGCTTTAAAAAAAGAAGGTTAGGTTTTATAGTTCAAAAACTCATTAGATACCAAATTCCAGAGATAGATTATAGTTACATTGTAAAACATTATATTTCTTGAATAAAACTAATATTGACTTAAATGATGAATTTTAAAATGCATTTACTTATTGGTGATTAAAAATACTTAAGCAGAGTAGTATTTTAAGCCATACAGAGCAGAGCAAAAGAAATTCTTGCTTAATAGATATATATATATATACTTTAAAATTCCAGTAATATTCTTAAATTCCTGTTAAAAATATAATCAATATTAAAGTCAGTAAAATGCTTATTTTGACTGACGCCTGGATTATTTTACCACTTAACCTGGTTACACAGTGATTTTTTTTTTCTGTCAGATATAACTGACAGTTTAGTCTTTAAGATAAATGAAGTGATAACTCACATTGTAGCATCCTGTGGAAAATATTCAAACTACATTTAAATGCTTTAAAATGAAGACGTCTATTATTCCACAAGAAATTGTTTCTGTAAAACTACAGGTTGGCTATGGCAATAGTAACTAAACTACATCCAACTCTGAAGGTAGAAAATTCCCTGAAAAGAAATACACAGCCTAGTGATAATATGCGATATAAAGATTACTTTCTTATTTTAAAAATCCTCCCATTTTGGAGAAATCCAAACCTTTCCATAGTTCCCTTCCTAGGCAGTGCCACATAAAGTTATTTAGCTGACATTATTATGATCATGGCTTACGATTAAGTTGACAAACAGCAATATATAGCTACACCAATATATAGCTACACCAATATATAGCTACACCAATATATAGCAGCCCTCGTATAGATGTTGGTTATGATAATAGTTGCAGTTCCATTGAAGAATATTTGCTTATTAAACTTGGTACAAAGCGTGAACACTCAGGACAGATTGGCACAATACATGCAGTTCGAGAACTCTCTTCTCTCAAGCCAGTCATCACTGAATAAGCCATATTCCAGTCCTGCTTCCTAAATCTTTCCTTGTATTATCATAGCTGATGATATTATCATAGCTGATATCAATGCTTCTCAAAATATCTTTCAGAGTAAGAAAAGTATGCTTAAAAAGAAAACAAAAACCATTCATCTGAATGCATGGTGGAAATGAGGCAGGATAGCCGAACCAGTGCCAGCTGGGAAAACATGGGGGATGTGAGGGAGGGGGAGCTGGCCCAGGCTCATAGTGCTCATGGCAAGTGAGGGGTCTTGGGGCTGCTGCCCCAGACAGCTCAGCCTATGCGGCAGAGGTTCCCCAGCCCCCAGGGCAAGACCACTACTCCCAAAGGCATTCTGGGTAGCAGGCGGAGGCAGCTGCCAGAAGCCCAACAGAGGGGAGAGGTCGAGAGAGGCAGGCAACAGGTTCACAGCATCTGCGGCTATCTCTTTGGGCAGGTTTACTTTACCTGCGCCTCCCTTAGCCAGGTCAAAACCTGCATTGAGCCTGTGAGGTGACTGAGGCTCTTGCAGAGGCAGCTCCTCCAGCAAATTGGCACTGCAAAACCCTTTATTTTCTGTTTTGATGGGCAGGCCTGCAAGTGGGGGGTACGAGGTAGAACCGGTGTTGTACTTGGGGTTCTGGAGGGGTGCGGGGGGGGAGCTGGGGGTGGCCATGGGGTGGAGCGGGGCCAGGAGCTCTGACAGCACCGGTATAGGCTGGGCGGGCTGCTCCAAGGCATTGAGGGTGTGCACCTCAGCTGGCAGGCCGCCAGCAAGCCCATTCTGCGCAGGGGCCCCTATCGGAAAAGGAGACAGCGGGGCAGCCTTCAGTTGGAACTGGGGAGAGAGAGAGTGCAGAGTATTCAGAAGCTCTGCGGACTGCAGGCTCTCCTTCAGCAGCTCCTGCGGGTGGGTCTTCTTGGTGTGGCGCGTGAGGTGGTCTTTGCGCCCGAATCTCTGGGCGCAGAACTGGCACAGGAAGTCCTTGCAGCCCGTGTGGACCACCAGGTGGCGCCGCACATCCTTGCGGGTGTAGAAGCACCGCTCGCAGTGGTCGCACTGGTGCTTCTTCTCCTTGGTGCCGGTCGAGGGCTTCTCTTCGGCATGGGCTTTGAGGTGGTCGAGCAGCACCTCGGTGCTCGCCAGCTCCAGGGCACAGACCCCGCAGGTGAGGTCGCCACTGCTGGCCGCGTGGAGGGCCAGGTGCCTCTTGTAGCCCAGCATCGTGTGGTACTTCTTCCCACACTCCTCGCACCCAAAGGCCATTTTGTTGGGGTCGTGCGTCTGGAGGTGGTTCTTCAGGTGGTCCTTCCGGTTGAAAGTCTTCTCACAATAAGCACACTGGTGAGATTTATGGGGTGAATGTGTAGCCATATGCCTAGGGACAGAGGGAGAAAATTCACAACAGACAACAGTTTTTTAAGAGCCAAAGAAACATATAGAAACAATATTAAAATGTTAGTAGTTTTCTCCAGGTGGTGGTATATACATTTTAGTTGTTAAAACACTTTTCTATATCTTCCAGATTTCTACACATAAACTTTATAATAAAAAAACACAAGTACTACGTGATGCGATGCGGCCGTCACACCTGTAAAGAACATGCATTGAGAACGTATTTCCTAATCTATACACAGATTTCTAAACACAAGTATATTCAAGTATTTTAAAATATAGGATCATGAAAAAATAGTTTTCAGGAAGGGGTTTAAATGACTATTCTATACTCTTAAAATTTCTGAATTTCCAAAAATGATCCAATTTGCCTTCTACATAGAACTCTACACCGCCACCCCCCATCATTACTGTTTCTAGTACAATCTCTGCTTTATCTTGATAGAAAGTTCAGGCCTTAGACGTTAATGCTAAAAAGACTATCCTTAACATCAGAGAAAGTGTCTATTACGAGTTATGGCCCCAGAATGGCAACCCCCCACCATGTGTCTTCTGAGCTTCACCCTCATGCCTCCCAGGAGAACGTTACAGTGAGGTCTTCAGTTGCTGCTGTTTAATACCTTCCCATGAGCTCTCATGTCAGATGCATGAACCCCCTGTCTCCATTTCTTTAAGATCCCTCTTAGACGCCTCCAACTCACTTCCTAAAGGTCACTGGTAATTTCACTGACAAAACTCAAGAGGACTTTCTCTAGAAGCACCAAGCTGCTGCCCGTGGACACGGAGAGAGACCCAGAGTCCGACTGCGGCACAAACAACACTGGGCAACAGGGGCCAGCACAACAGGCACTTGGGGTCTGAGGTGACGCTGGTCTGAGTCCCAGATGTGTTTAAATACATTCACAGGTTGCAGAAAGGGTTTCTGGAGCCGGCTAGAGGGCAAATAACAAACTTGGCATTTAAACAATTTTCTCTCTGGGCCAGCACTAGTGTTCGGGAACCTAAAGCTCTGTGATAGATCTTGCCTCTCTCTCCTTTTTCCTCTGTGGACTTTTATCTGATTAGATCTCATTTATCAGCCATGTGTAGATCAGTGCCACGTGAGCAGCTCTGGACCTGGTATTTCCTGTCCTGCTCCTGTCCTACCTATGAGAAAGGTTCAGGGGGACACAAGTCACACTCGAGCAGTAACACCACTTGTCACATCACATCCCACGAGCTTCCAACCCATTTTGTTTGTTTACTTTTTCCTTTGCCTGGCATCCAGTTCTTCTCCATCTAATTGACTCCTCACTTGCTCACGCAACAATCCCAGTCTAGACCATGATCACCGTAGAGCTAAAACGACTCCCACGTCTTGCTGCCCTCCCTAGCTTCTCTTCTCACCTTACAACCCAGGAAACCACCACTTTCGGTCTGTCCTGTAGTTTCAAAAAAAACACCATCTTCGGGTGTCACCTGGACCACGTCAGTGATCTTAGAATGCTTCCGGGGTTAACTGCTGACCCTGGGACTTCCGTCTGCCTTGCCAAATCCTCTGTTCCTGCCTTTGGCTGTCTTAACTGCTTTTGTCCTTCGCTATATTAGGTCCCATGTGCTCTTTTCCAGTTAAGCGAGTCAGTTACTTTCTTCTTCAACCTTTGCTTATGAAATGGAACTTTTATGTGGCAACTGAGACACAGGATGAAATGCTGCCCTTTTAAAAATAAATAAGGCATCCTGCCCTCTTCCCTCCCTTGCTTCAGGCCAGAGGGGCAAGACCTGCTGGTGGCTATGGCAGGGAAGGCCGTCCTTGCAGAGAGTACACTGCTTCCCTTTTTTGCCTCTCTTCACACCCTTAGCTGAACAAGTTGTCTCCCTTGCTCTGAACTACCAGCTCCTAAATATTGCTTAAGACATCTCCTTCAGTGCGGTTTACCACAGTAATCCCACCTAATTCCTGTCATTCCAGTAATCTGTCGGCGCCACTGTCTGTTCCAAATATTTATCTCCTATATGTATTTTGGTCTTTACCCACAGTTATAATATCCTCACTGTGGCTTAACTGCAGCTAACCCTGCCTTTGGTGTTTGGGTAAGGATAATTACTGTGTACACATAAGAAGCGTGCTGCAAAACAGGAAGCCTTTGCAACCAAACTGGTGCATACAGTAGGCACTCAATACTTATATTTATGGCAACTAGAGACTGGCCGATGTACAGAACACATTTGAATTTTAAGCACTCGTAGGCTTATTTGAACAAATCAGCTTATCAATGATCTGTAACAGGGCTATTCATAGGGGCCAGGAACATAACTTATTTAACTCTCGCCAGTGCCTTCCTCCAGGAGCACTCCCAAATTTAATCATAAGGTGGTCTGTGCTCATAGCATATCAGATGGAAGTTGTCTCTCAGTTCTCACTCTCACTCATGCACTTATCTGCTGGTCTGACAGTTACAGTTCATCACATGAAGACTAGAGGCCAAAGACGCATTTCCCTCACCCCGGTATCCAGACAGGCATGCGTTCGTGGGAGCTCTGAGCGTATGGTGTACATAGCGCACGCACAGCATTCACTGTCAATCAGCCGACCGTGCGATGTACTCACTGAGAGTATATTTTGAGTACTGTCTTTCTATGATATAAAAGTCTTTTACAGGCAGAAACTACATCTCATATACCATTTCTCTCATGGAAGTAAGACACTCAAGAAACAATTCAGACTAAATGTTACTGTTTTTAAGAAAGGACCTATCTCCGCAAAGTAGTTTTTACCCTTTGTTGAATCCCTCCCCTCTATCCTCACTGTCGGGGCCTGGAGAGGCTCTCCATATTTCATACCTGGACTGTTTGTACATCAGTACAGACAGATTGTACATCAGTCTACTTGCCTCTTCCCTCTTCTCCAAATTACTGCCAGAGCCATCTTTCTAACATCCTGATCAAATCATGTTGTTCAGTTCTTACACTCCTCAGAGAAAACAAGCCTTTTAGGACAGTAGACACAGCCTGTTCTGAGCTGCTACCCTCTGGCCTCCAGTTTGAGCCTCACTCTGTTCCTCTTCCAGCGCGACCCTCTGTCCACATGTGCCTCCAGGCCAAGGCTCAGAGCTTCCCCAGAACCTCCTCTCTGCCTGCCTCCCATTCATTCTTCACATCACAGCTAAAGACTGCACCACTCTGACAAGCCTCCCCAGGTCTCACCCAGCAGTGGAGAACAACTTCCACCACTTCCACAGCTCTGTGACTAAATCCTGTGGATGACATTTTAATGGTGTTCCCATGACTATCTCCCCGGCCATAGGTCTTCTCATCTTTCTGTTCTTAGGCCTGGCTTATTGTAGGAACACAAGACATACTTGTTGAAAAAGTGAACTGAACACTGCAGAGCACAACTGTCGTATAAAAACTACAGTCATCACTGGACATACAGCCTTAAAGGCTAAAGGGCATCCGCTTTCCCTGCAGCGTTTGGTCTGAGGGCTAGCAAAGCCTTTGAAAGGTATGTGGAAAAGCACATACCTTTTCTGAAGCCTCTCACCTCATCAATTTATATCTGGAAATGAAGGCTTTGCCACAGTCTGGCTGCAAGCACTTGTAAGGTCGCTCCCTGGAGTGGGAATAACTGTGGATAGTGAACTTCTCCAGGGTGAGGAAGGTCTTGCCACATAACTGGCAGGGGTAGGTAGCCATGGGTTTTGTCTCTCACACTTTCTTTTTCAGATGCGCTGACCAAATGCTGTGCCATTTAATTGCAAATAGAAGGACAGGACTGTGCTGAGCACATCAGCAGAGCCCCAGCAGCCAACCGCCAGGCCCAGGGGCAGGCAGCGTTGTGGTCCCCGACCTGGATCTACCCAGACATGGGCCTCTCGGTTACCACTATCTCTGCTTCCTGCATCCTATATCCCAGTTTCCACGTGGTCTCAGGCTGAGAGGAGCAAGTCTGAGGCACAGATGATGTTCCCGAGCAGAAAGGCAGACTGCGTCACTAGAGCTGGGGCACGTCCTGGGTCACCAGACTGTGGAGAGAAGAGGAACAGTTTCTGCGCATTAGCCGTCGGCAAACCATGCTTCTCGTCCACCCGTTCAGCATCGACTACCTGGACTCAACGTGTTCCTTTAAATGGCTCTAATGTGGCACACCTCTCCATCTTCCCTGTGCTTTAAGAGGTCCTTCTGCATGTGGATGCTCCTGTCTGTGCTTCTTCACAGTGGCAGGAGTCAACTGCACAGGGTTCTGATGGCGGATGAAACACACTTTCCCTTGTGATAGAGACAGCTATTTCCACAGACTTGGTATCATCTACTTCAAGCCACGAGCTCAGGTCAGTGTGAAGTTCAGTCTGCCAATTCAAAGGGGAAAATAAAACACCCGCACACACCCCCAGTGTGCTTAAGTGTCTTATTGGTAGAGAAAAGAGAGGCATCCTCGCTCATTCAAACCATTGGCTAGTCCTTGTCACTCACTGTTGGCAGAACATAAGTTGTTTATCACACCTGTTTAAACTTCCAGGGGATGAGACGAAATCATTTGTATGTATCTAAGTTGATTTGTTTGTGAGGTTACCGTGCAGAAGGACTCAAGTCTATGGCATAAACAAAGTGGAAACAAAGCTAGTCTCGTTCACTGAGGTGTTGCCTTTGAAGGGGAGACGAGATTCACACAAAGACAAGAGTGACGACGGCTGGGGCACAGGTCAGCACATTCTGGTATGCAGGCACCATCTTCCAGGAAACTGTCCACTCCTCTTTTCCCCTTTAGTCTGTGGGAACACTTCCTCATTCCCCAGCCCCACCCAGCGGGGGCAGGGGGAGGGGAGAGGGGAGCTACCTGCTGGAAGGCCACTCCTAGGAGATGGGCTTGCCGCCTTAGCCTGCCTCCAATCCCAGTTCTTACCATCCTTGCAACCCAGGCAGATCACCCAAGTCCAGGCTTTTCTCTTTCTGCCAACAGACCCATAACTTTGGAGCCTTAAGAGTCCAAAACAGTATCATGAACACAGCATCAACAACACAGGAAAAGCCTGGCTACCCAGAACCCATTCTAGTGAGAGAATTCTCACGCAACGGATGTTAACCTTTCAAGTGCCGATACTTTAAAAAAAAAAAAGCATACTGTCTGCTTATATTAAACACATTGGAGTAACTTCTGCACACAGGCCAGCCTTCTCTGAACTTTGTCAACTGAGCACGGCATGTGTGTGAACCTGACCAATCTCGGCAGGCCTTTGAGGCATCTAGTCCCTGCATCATTCATTTATTGCCAACTCTTTTAGAGATCTTTACTATTCAGTTAATTTTTACTTACCTCTGGAGTTATTTTCAGATCAGAAAGCTGGAGTCTAGCTAGATGAAGTTTTACTACAGTAATAGTTCAAGCATCTTTGTATCAGCACCTGGCACATGCACACAGACAAACACACATTCCTTTTTTAAGGGGTAAAAACTGCAGGAAACTTTTCATGTTCCTCATCAACTAGCTCAGATGTTTTTAGTGTCTGGTCAGAGTTCACAAGGAGCCGGCACCAGGCAGATACCCCTCGCTGTCCTGCCCCACCTGCTTGGAGCCTTCAGAGCTGACGTGTGCACTTTGACCTGAAGCTCCAAGCACTGATCCAAAGCCGGGGACGCCGGCGTTCTCAGCCAGCATCTTGGCACCAAACCTCCTTTCTGATGGCAGCACACAGAGACCCCTCTGGGACCAAGTACGATTTGAACTGAGCCCCTGTCCCGGCCCCGTCCAAACCCCTCTCCCTCCAACTCCCCGTTCCCTCATCGTGTGCCAGGTCACCCCATGGCCCAGCCTTGAGGCATCCCAAGCACCCTGGCCACAGACAAAGTAATTCCTTCCAGGAATTCTATCCTGTGTGGCCGAGTTTCTGCTGCCAGGATTCATGGTGTGTCCTACTTTTCCATCCAGCCTGAGTCTGGCCATAACACTGGCCCATCCATAAAAGGCACAGAATTTATCATCATCATTAAATATACTCATTCACTTGAGATTGCTGTGTTTTCCAGGTCTATTTTAAGAGATTAAAATGTATACACAATATGAAGCTTGAAATTCTTTTTTTTTTCTTGTTCTCTTTATAGCTGAACTCAAAATAGCATTAGTCACTCAAGAGAAGGAGCTGGTCTGGTGGTGAGATTTTAAACATTTTCTCATCTACACCAATCCCCCTGCATATATACTCTAAATTGATTCTCCCCAACTCCTGCATTTATGAGAAATGACCAGTGTCCAACAGAACTTTCTGTGATGGAAATGAATGGCTACTGAACATTCAAAATGTGATGCTGAGAAACTGACATTGTCATTTAAGTCGCCACACAAGGCTAGTGGCTCCTGTGCTGGAAAACACAGGAGCCACAAGAAGTGAAGGTAAGGCTAACGCTTTTCTCCAGACACAGCTACGCTCTGATCCACCGTCATGCATTTCCCTGAAGCACAGCAAGTGGATATCCAGCTCCAGTCATTTGTTTTATGAATATAGTAGACAGATTCCCTGGTTCAAATTCCAGCTCATCCATTTGTTAGCGCCTAAGTTTCAGTTTCCTCATTTGTAATATTTACTTGATGCATGTAAATGAGCCAGTGGGGACAACCAACTGAAACAAGATGAATCTTAAAAGCACTCTGTAATCTAAAAACACTCCATACAAATATATGGTAGTATTTATAAACACTGGGATTAAAAGTAGAAACCATCAGCTGCAAACTGGCACACAGTCTGAACCACTCAGCTATGGATGTAATGGAAAAGAGAAACACATTCTCTCCCGGCATATACTTTATCACCCGTTACTCAGAGATGGAGGAGCCAGGAGCCTGGATAATACACATGCTCCACACACACAGGACATACAAAGTTGCAAGTAAAAACTGGCCCGAGGTCTTTGTTTCTCAACAGATACCAAGGTTTGCTCACCAACACACCAAGAATACAAAGGAAAAATCAGATTTTTTTCAATTAAAGGAAAAGTATCTGCCTGTTAGCATTGAATAAAGCTTCCCAAATCCACTTTCCAGTCACTTCCCTAGATTCAAAAGTCCAACAAGTTGTTGACATCACTACATTTCCCTCGGGCCTTCAAAGATGGTGGGTATACAATCAAGGCATTTTAGACATGACTATACTGAATTTAAATGTGAGACATTTCCTCCAACTCTTTCCCCATTAAACTTGCAGAGAACAACAAAACATTAAGTCATGTAAACATTTTTACACTTATTTTACTTATTACATTAATGTCTTTGCCCAAGACTTTTCTTATCTTTTTTAGTTTTAGGTCTCTGTGTTAAATACACCCAGTCCAATCCTACATGTAAAATTGGTCCTCACATGTTGAACTCAATTACTTTAAGACAGTAAGCATTCCTTAGTTTCTTCAGGAAGGCTTTTTTTTAAAATGATGTATTCAAATTAACTAGTAGTTAATAACATTTCATTCACTGTAACTGTGTATTTCATTAATATGGATCTTCAAATATAAATATTTACACTGTTTTAATGATATAATCACAAACTTCTATAAACACAGCCTTTCCCAACAGATTATAAATTCATTGTGGCCGAGGATCAAAGCCCAGCTATTTTTAAAAAATAAGCTGTGTGGGTAATACAACATCTCCCATCACCATGTACTTGATCAGAACTGGCTGGCTGCTGCTGATTCCAATCTTTCCTTGAAACCTGATGAGCTCTGGCCACACCCTTAAAACAGACTTGTGATGAACTTTCTATTATTTGGCCAACTGCCAACAATCCTAAACAGAGAGCTAACAAAGGGATGGTCCCGATGATCATCAGTCTGCCCTGTGACCTGACATACAGATTGCATTTGAGTCTTTAAATATGGTAATATTTCAGCACCTGTCACCCTGGAAAAGAGAGTAAGTCTTCCCCCAAAACATCTCAGGACATAATTTTCAATCCCCTTGATTCTAAAAATACTGAGTGAGTGATACAGATCTGCCCGTGTGCCAAAGAAGGCTTGTGCCATCTGCTTCATTCTGTTCGTGCTGATTATTTTGGGGATGAGAGAGGATCAGATTGGAATAAGAACATATATATATGGCAACAGCCAGGAAGGACTGTGTTCCCTGAGGGCTGGTGGTATACGGCGGTGGAGGGAGAGGTCAGAGCACAAGTGGAGTTCCAGGACGTCCCCAGTGCTGCGTAACACAATCAGCTAATGGGGGACAAATGTTTTACAACATTCTCAAAATAAACCATGACTTCTGGCTTCTATTTCCATTGTCCCCAGTGACACAATGCAAGGCCCATTTCTGGGAGGAAATTGAATTTCCATTTTTAGTCTTTCAACATGGGTACTCTTGTTTTTTTTTTTTTTTCCCTCCATTCATCACCACTCCTTGTGGATAAGAAGGTTCTGTTCTAAGCATTTCTTTTCCTCTCATACTCCTGAAACCTAGGATGGCTTTTATATAAATGTGTTAAGGTCAGTTTTAAAAGTTCAGTTTCTTCTTATACTCACACAATATGAAACAGCCAACCATGGAGCAGGGCAGGTGGAAATTCCCTGTTTATCTGGCTCCAGGAGGCTTCTAGAGAGGTGCTCCCCTCCATATTTGAAGGATTCTAGCAAGGACTAGAAGGACTAGTAGCAAGGACCACTAGTAGTCCTTGAAGGACCTGTAGCAAGTCTCTCTCATGAAAAAGCCATCCAGAAATATCAGCAGGAGGAAGAAGATTCTCAGAAACTCCAGGTGGCTGCTACTGCTAATTTTCTATTATGCATATGTACTGGGAAATGTGATAGGTCTTGTACCTGAGCATGTAGATGCTAGAAGAGTTGGGGCTCATTATATGTCTAATCAGTAAAAGAGGAGCTCCCAGGGCTGGACTCATAACTTGGTTGAGGATTATAGATGCAAGGCCTGTTGAGTCCCCTACCAGATGGCTGTGGCTGGCTTTTCAGCCTCCACTGAGAACAGAGGTTTTTAAGTGGGGCCCATGGCAGAGCTTCCAGGGCCCATGACTCTGAATTCTCCAAATTTCTATGGAAAATTAGGAGGCATGTGTATTGCAGTTCTTGCGAGGAGAGGGACCATAGCTTTCTTCAGATTTTCTAAGGGATTCTAGATTTAAACAGATTAAAGGGCACTGACCGACTTAGATGAAAAAAGAGAAAAATCCCTCTTTGTGCCATCAGTTCAGTTTGACTTCACAAAGTCACTGACAATTCCTAAGCCACGGGCCATATATTTTATGCCTCAATCCCTGCATTTTATCAGGTGAAGGTTAAAAAAAGGAGGGGAGGGGAGGGCTCTATAACAATGTTCTTTGGAAATTCAAGCAATAAACAATTTGTACAAATTTCATTTCAAATAGGGGTACAGATGATAATGTAATAGATCCTATCATGTAAGACAGGCTTTCCTTTTGACTAGCGGGCAGGATGCCTTCCAAATCACAGGGATTCATTTGTCAGCATCTTTAAAAATCTGTTATTAAAGTGCGTATGTGTGTGTGTATCCTCAATAAAGTACTAACAGACCATCATTAAAATCCACAACACCTGAACTGACACACCACTTGGTAGAAACATCGTGGGTAGGTTGTATTCTAGGCTGGAGCCTCAAAGCCTGTCACCCTGCCATGTCTCTGCAGCTGCCCCACAGCGGCTCAAAGGCAACTGAGGCTGCAGATCAACCCACTGGCTATTTGCTCAACATGCTTGACATCCCTCATGCTTCTGTCTTTTCCACACTATGCCCCTTCCTGGACTCTCCTGCCACCCAGGATCTACCTGGCCAACTGCTACTTCCCTTGTCATTCCTGGGCAGAGGAATGGGCACCTCTTCCACATGGTGAGATGGTGAAACGGGGGATCACTGAGGAAGCGATTACAGAAGTCCAGGTGAGCCCACAGACACTAGGGCTACGGGGGCCATGGTGGAGGTACCGAGCATGGATAACCCAGGCTCAGAAAGAGAAGACTGGCTTGGTGAGAAACTACCTCCACAGAGGGTTCCTCTGTGTTCCCCCCAGGACCGTTCACCACTGGGTACACACGTCCACTTGAAGTGTTTGAAACAATCTGCTCTTGGGGGTGGGCGGCACTGGCTCTGGCCCCCTTCCACCCCTGGCCAGCCTGCTGTGGGAAGCGCCGCACACAGCCAGGCCCCACCTCCCTGGCCTGCCAAACCATCAGCTTTGCTGCCTCCTGACTCTTTTAAACTGTCACCTGGAGAGACTTCATTTTGTTAACCCGTGACTAAACTCTCATTTTCTTAGAAATGAGGCCTAAAATAAGCTTGAAGGCTGAAGTGAGTTGTTTATATCATATTTAGAGAGAAAATTATACCACAGCTTCAGAACATCAAATCTACGCACTAAGAAAAATAGGAAAAAGGACAGGGTGCTAACCTAGTCACAAGTAGTGGGAGTAATGTCGAGTTAAAGACAGTAAACTGAATGGAAGTATGCAGCTCCAGTCTCTCCTGAAACTCTAGTAAAACAGTATTAATGAAAGTGTCTAATGGTTTATGATGTCTATATTCTTTGTGAATTGTACCTTTTACCATTAAAAATATCCATCTTTGTTTCATTTAAAATAAATACATTTAAAAAAACAGTATTAATGAGATTCATCCCCCCCCCCCCCCCAGCAAAAAACACAGCCTAAGATAACAGGAAAGGAGAAAACAGTAACAACGTTTTGGAAACTGGAAAGTAGGTAAACAAGCAGGAACGGACTTAGCTATCCTCAGAAAGCTGAA